GAGGGCAGGGATGGATGGGATATTGGGAAGGAATTGTTCCCTGGGAGGGTGGGGAGGCCCTGGAATAGAATTCCCAGAGATGCTGTGGCTGCCCCTGGATCCCTGGAAGTGTCCAAGGCCAGGCTGGACAGGGCTTGGAACAACCTGGGATAGTGGGAGTGTTCAGGGTTGGACCAACATGAGCTTTTAACATCCCTTGCAACTCAAAGCATTCTGTGATTCTGTGATCTTTACCATGATGTGACTTATGAAGTGATTTCTGTTGGACAGAAACCCCATGGATCACAGAGTAAATCCCAAGGTGAGGTGTGTGAGTCACAGTGGTGATGCTGTTGCCTGCTCAACATGAAATACTCCATACTGAGATGTGATGGGCTTCCCTTGCAGCCACCCACGGGTGGAGTGGCAGGGTCTGGGCTGACCCTGAGCTCCCTCCGCTCTGTAAATGCCATTTTGGCTGCACCCCCTCACGAATCCCTCTATTCTGACAGACTCCACATCCGAGCATACAATACGTACCCATGCCTGGGTCCCTCATTCAATATGGACACTGAGGGGTTGGAGCGTGTCCAGGGAAGGGGCTGGAACACCAGGAGAGGCTGAGGGAGCTGGGAAAGGGGCTCAGCCTGGAGAAAAGGAGGCTCAGGGGGGACCTTGTGGCTCTGCACAACTCCCTGACAGGAGGGGACAGCCAGGGGAGTCAGGATTTCTCCCAGGGAACGGGGACAGGAGGAGAGGGAACAGCCTCAAGCTGTGCCAGGTTGGTCATTAGGAAGAATTTCTTCACAGAAAAACTGGTCCCCAGGAAATTCCACCTGAACATGAGGCAGAGCTTCTTTCCTGTGCTGTGACCAAGCACTGGGACAGTCACTGGACACTGGACAGTCTGGACAGGTTGACCAGGAAGGGTGTGGAGTTTCCCTCCCTGGAGATATCCCAGGACTGCCAGGAGGCAAATCCTGTGCCATGCTTTCTGGGATGACCCTGCTTGAGCAGAGGGGTTGGACCAGATGACCCACTATGTCCCCTTTAAATTGACCAATTCTGTGCTGAGACATTGGAAGGGGCTGCCCAGGGAGGTTTGGAGACCCCATCCCTGGAGGAACACCTGTACACGACACTCAGTGCTCTGATCTGGTGACAAGATAGTGATGGATCACAGATTGGACTCGATGACCCGGAGGTCGTTTCCACACTAATTAATTCCGTGACTCGGCCAGCCGGCTTCGTTACCACGCTGGGGGCAAAGAGGAAGGACTACATCTCCCAGCACGCACCGCGGCGGGCCGCAGGGTGATGGGGCGTGGCGCTGCGCGATGCACGCTGGGAGTTGTAGTCCGGCCGGCATTGGCCCGGCGCGGCACCTCCCTCGCCAGCGCTCCTCCCCGCTCCGGCTCTCCCTCGGCAGACGGAAGCCGGGCAGGGACGAGGGAGCCGGGAAGGCTGGAGCGGCAGGATGGGGGACTCCAAAGTGAAGGTGGCGGTGCGTGTCCGCCCCATGAACCGGCGAGGTGAGATTCCCCTTTCTCCCTCAGCATCGCCCTCCCCTGTCCTTGCCGGGAGCGGCGCGGGCCGGGGGTGCCGGTCCTTGGGGACAGGTGTCCGTGGGGACAGGTGTGTCCCAGTGCGGTGAATCGTTGCGTGTTCGTGTGCGCTTAATTATTTATCAGGAATAAACACGCCCCGCACAGGCACGGGCGGGTGTGTGGCCGCAGCCGAGCTCTGCTCATCCCCCCCCTTTCCCGATATCTTTTTTTTTTTTTTTAAATCTTTCTGGGTTTATGGCTTTATTTTCCCCCGGGGAAGAGCCCTCTCCGCACCTCCTGCACCTGCTTTACAGCCGGTTCCTGCTGGGACAGCGCTTCCTTCTTCCTGCTTTGCGGTTTTTGGGGGAAAATTCTTCTTTTTCCGCATTTTGCCTTGTGCTAATTCGCCCCGCTGCTCTCCAGCGGGACGCTGTTCACCACATGACAGCGGCACAAGGACAAAAAAACAAGCAAGAAAATACAGAAGAGGAATCGAGAATTGACGAGAGAATTTTTTTTGTTGTTGTTGTTTTTGGGTTGTTGTTGGTTTTTTGTTTTTTTTTTCCCCTCGACGAAACTTGCCTAAGGGTTATGTTAATCAGACCGTGGTCTGGGCAGCTGTTTAAATGTTTATTACTTGTCTTAATTAGAAAAACTGGCTCTGGATGATGAGGAAGTGAGCATCAGCCAAGGAATGGGAAGGTGAAGAAGGCAGAAATCCAAGAAAAGTGTAGGGTAGCTTTTTTTTTTAATCCCACATTCTCACAGGATCATGCCAATAATTCTTTATAGGGAAAGGGAATCCAGTGAAGTCAGTTTAGTAGTTGAAGCAAAAATGGAGGGAGAGGGGAAGCCCTTTATTGTCTACATGATCTGGCATACAATATCTTTTTAATGCCTTTCTATAAAAAAGAAAAAGGGTTAAAATACTGAATACAGTGATTCTACATCTGTAAAATGTCAGTTCACAAGAGCTCCTGAGTCCCATTACCAGAGCAAGAGATGGAGTTGGTGTCTTTACAGTCTGGTGGTTTAGGGAAAAATTGAGGATATTTTGACCAAAAGCTGCATTTTGTTAAACTTCAGGTGCCAGCTCTCAAAACTGAGGAGGATCCATCCTTAGAGAGAATGGGTTGGAGCAGATGGAGAGGCAGTGTTGGTGGGAGCTGGAAGGTGCTGCCTGGTGTCAGTGACAAATTTGGGCTTTCCTCTTGCTCATGTCCCTTTCCTGACATAGCTCATTTCCTTGGCTGTGCCCCAGACGTCTCCTGACTGCTTGGTGTTCCTCACCCCCGGGATTAGACAATAATTCAGGTTGGAATTGTTGGAATTACTGACCTCTGGAGCACGTCAGATGAGATGAGGTTGCACAGGGCCTCAACCAGTGAAGTTTGGAATCTCCCAGGGTGAATAATGCACCTCTCCCACATAAATCCTACATCTGCCCAGCCCTGGGTTTGTCCACATGTCCTTTTCCAGCCAGGAAGCAGTGGGAGAATAAAGGAATCTAGAGGAAATCTAGATTGCATCTCTTTCATAGAATATCCTGAGTTGGAAGGGACCTACAGGTCCAACTTCTGTTTGTCTTTTATTCTGTATAAACTTAAAATTGTTATGGAGAGGATGACTCCTGTCAGGAGGCTCATCCAGGAGTGAGGGACATTTGAATTTCAGTCCTTAATGCTCATCAGAGAGAAGGGGGGTCTGAACCCACCCACTCTTGGCAGTTTGCTGCTATTAAACATCCTGTTATTTGTGAGTGATGCCTAAATCCATTTAAGTCTAGCCTAGAAGATCCATGGCTTTTTTTCCCTCAAGCAAAATGTCCTGGAAGTGTTTGGGTTTTTTTTTTTTCCCCAGCAGATTATTTATCAAAGTTCAGATGTGTTGGTCAGGTCTAAATAACTGATACCTCCCTATGGTATTTTTGATGCACCTTGAATTTATAGAAACAAACAGTGAAACCAAAGCTACAATTTTTCTTGCCTATTTAATGTTTAATTTAAGCATTTGTGCAACTGATTTTCTGAAGAGTCATCCTTTTTTAAGACTTCTGTGGCCTTGCTTTTTTTTTTTTTTTAAGCTTTGAGGCAAGAGGCAGCTTTCCTGGAAGCTCTTTCATACACATTTTGTTCTGAGCAGTATTTATATGGAGTTCTGGGGCTTTGGACCTGAAGCAAGTATTTGTTTTCTTCAGGATCACGAGTAATGTTCTTTCCTTCCCTCTGCACCAAAAGGGCTTAACATTGCAAACCTGTCAGATGGCTGAGACTGTGGAAAGTTAAGCTTTGAAATATTCTCAGTGTTTACTTGTGGTGGTGGTGGTTGTCTTTGGTGTTTGAGTTATGAATTTCTTAAGGCAAGGGTTTATTAGGTTAATAAAAGTGGTGTGCTTAACTGTTGGGAGTTTTTACAGCCCATAAAAGTCTAATGGGTTCCTTGCCTGCATGTGGAAGGGATTTGTGTATCAAATAATTGGTTATTTATAGCACTCACATTTCAAGGTGTTTGGATTGAGGGTCCTGCCTCATTCTCATGCAGAGTGGTAATCCATAAACTCAGTTTATAGCACTAATTTTTAGTGAGGGGAAGCATTTCTAATTGTATTTGGGTTTGTTTGTTTGGGTATTTTTTTGCATCCAGGCTACTTTATTTTGGATCTTGTATCAAATCAGACCTCAATCCTACCAAGGCTGTGTGGAAACTTTGTTTTTATAAAAAACTGTGTCCACACGTTTGCAGTGCCATGTCTGAAGTTGGAGGCCCTCCTGGGTGGCAACTGAGGCATCTTTTTTTTTGCATCCCTTCTACTTTGCAAGCTGGGATCTCGATTAACAGGCTTTTATGAATTAAATAATTCAGCACTGCTTTGTTAGATAAGGCTGTTGGTCTTTTATTTTCTCGGCCCTGTAATTCGCTAAAGTATTTCCTAGTGCACTGTGTTATTCAAATGGGGGTTTGATAGCAATCAGGAAGTTCTTTTGCTGTTTTATTTAAGAGTTGTGGTGGATTTCCTTTTATGAGTGTCATGTTTGACTTCTCTTAGCAGATATTCATCATATTTCAGGTAGATGCAAATGTCAAGCCATACTATGAAGCAAAGCAAATGACAGCTGAAAGCTTTTTTAATTAAGATTTTTCTCACTGAATGCTTTGTTTTCAGGTGATGTTTGGGTATACAGGCAGTACATAATCTGTTAACTCGTGTTTCCTTGTGATTTTTAATCAGTTTAGTGTTGTGTTAGTTAATGCTGATAAAAGCTTTTCTCTTTTAAAAGAACATGATTTATGCTCAAGGATATGGCCAATGACACTTAAGCCAGTCCAAGCTGCCACATCTCACTTGGGTCAATGCTTTTTTGAGCAAGAAAGGCAGGAAAGCAACTTGCCT